AAAACTAAATAATCATACAACTATTAGAAACTTTTGGTATGCAAGTTTTGTTTTGAAACTCATGGCCACTTTGGGAAACATTTTAAAAGAAAATACTGTGTAATCTATCTTTGACTTGTTACTTTGGTTTTAACAAGCATACTTACATTAATTCTGACGTCAAATCCAGGAATTAGATAGAAGATAAACACGTGTTGTTTAAAATAATCAACAAAGTATCAAAGGAATGTTTTGAGGTTTTATTTAACAAATGACTTGTTCAATTCTATCATTTACATCAAAAGAATGTTGAATGAGCATTTGAAGAGCCTTACTTTTAAAATCCCACCAAGCAAACCTATTACTTTGAATACCGAAATATTATTCAAGGAGGATAATCATAAATTCAATACAATACAACAAAACTTGAAGCAAGATTGTAATTAATGTTGGGAAAGATCACAATTAGAGTTAGAAGGATCACGTCCACTAATTCGCCAGTGATAACTTTTAACTTTTTAAATTGTTATATTTGGAAAGTATTCATTTACCTTTTATCTTTTTTGTAAAAAAGAATATACTGCAAAAAGGTTAAGTTGAAAGGATTGCTAAAACTCCACAGTTGAGAATAATTACTCAAACTCATTCATTATAAATATTCAATTAATTATTAACTAATAAGAATATAATTTGTTATTTTAAGTGCAAAACTAAAGGAAAAGAAGTTCGCAAAACAAGGAGGGTGGATATACGTGAGTTATGGAATATTATGGTTTAATTAAGTGCCAAGTGTGCTTCATGTATAATAAAGACCACAATTGAGTTCCGACAATGCCCATGTGTGAAAAGGACCCCCCTCTCTATCTGGTGCCAGGTGGCACATACGTGTGTCCACGTGGACCATGTTCGCCAACTGCCACGTAGAGTGTCCTCCCTTCCGTAAAGCCCACCCCGGGTCTTGAATGGCGGGGGGGGAACCAAATCCCCAGTTGGGTTGACAAAATAAAGGGCCGGGCCGGGCCGGGCGGGGGGGGGGGTCAAGCCCCTGTTTTTTTGGCTCGTCTCTCTTGCCCACTTTGTAGAGTCCCATGTGATGGCTGACTTTGAACTTTTTTAATTTCACTTTTTTCTGGGTGGGCGTCACTTTTGGCCTCTAAATCCAATTGTTCCACACCCTTGCTTTTCGATGCTTGGAGCTTTTTTTCGTTTATTGTTTGGTTGTTTCTTTTCCACGTCGCTTATTTTTTGTACTTTTGACTTTGGTGAAAGAGTTTGGGTGTAAATAGTTCAAGCGTGGTATGATCAATAACTTGACGTTTTTTGGAAATTGTCTACAGAATTTCTAATGGCTTTGGGATTAACATGATCTGGAGCTGGGCACCAGTGTTTGTTGTTGATTTCAATGCAAATGCTGAGAATCATTCAAAGATTTATCATGGAGTGCTTTTTAATCAAGTCTGTCTCAAAAAAGCATGGTGGTTATAAAATCAATGGTTCCCATAAAAACATGGCAATAATAACTTGGATAATAACCTGGATAAGCTGGTACACTACTATGTTATGAAATTATTCATACCTTTCAATATTATATAATACACACAAGGAATTGTTAACGCTATATTCCTAATTGATGTTGAATCACCCTAAGTAATACATGTAATTCTTTTTTGTGCATGAGCCTTTGGTGCGAGAGGAGCGAGAGCAAGTGGTATGTGCCCCTCAACTACATGACTGCAACTATCATAAGAACAACAATGATGAACAAAAGCTTGGCCATGGTGAGTGACTTTATCACAAAAAAAAATGAGTAGCTACATGAAATAGAAGCACATGCAATTTTGGAGGTGGTTGTTCAACTAGTTATCTTTTTAAGATTATGTCCCCAGAGACCCTGCAAGGATGCTGCCTCTTCACTCCTGAAGCCATTGCAGATATTAATTAGAAATTTAAGTATATTTTAGACAACACTGAACCATTTACCTGAAAATCCTGCTGAAAATTTACTTTTTCAAAGTATACTTTTAGACCTAAAGCTACATATTATTAGAAATAAACTGAAAACAATATATTCTTGTCTTTTAGTAGAATTATACTTCATGTTTTATGTTAGTACACGAAAGATAAGTTATTTTGTCGTTTTTTCTCTATCACAGAAATTTAGTGGTATTTAACGTCATTGGAATCAAAAAAATTCAACATGCGTCCTTCTAAAAATAACAGAGAGTTGAACTGTTAACCCATATTCCAATTCGTGCAATTTCATGATATCAATAAGATTTGGTGAATTCTTAGCTACATCGTAAGCACTTCTGAATCCACTTCTAACTGAATCTGTAATAAAGTAGGCTACCTTCTGAAATGTTTTAAAACTTTCTTGGTCATAAAACAAAGCTAAATTTGTAAAACGAAATGTAGTGGAGAATCTCTCTTTTATGATTGTTATTACTATTATTTAAGAGAGTGAAAAACCGTATTTTTGAAACAAAATTATCTTAATATTGAATGTTTTTCAATGCTTTCAACAGTGAACAATACATGTAAGAACTGAAAATTTGTAATGCAATTCCACAATTACAGATACACAACACTTAGACTTGCATCACTTAATTTATATATATATATATATATATATATATATATTCATTCTAAGTATGTGACCAAGGAATGGGAAGAATTAAGTTTACTACCAAGTAGGATAATCACTGCTCCATTCAACTGTTTAATTCTTTACCACTAATAGTAGCAGTCATACATACATTTGGTTGTCACTACTACGAATAATTTTTGTACATTTTCTATAGGGATGTTCAATTATGAACCAATTAACAAGTGCTTTCCATCTTTTGGACATGGTACATGACTGTTACTTCTTTGTATGTGGAAATTTTTCTGCCTTGTCAATGAGGCATTAGAGTGAGATGTTAACTTCAAAGACATTGCAAAGCCTTTTTCCACATATTCACATGCCTTTTTGTGAAAATGTACATTCAATTGGGTATTGGTTTCTTGAGTTCTTAAATTTTACAATTGATTTTGTGTGTATTTATAATTTTTCATTGATTCTTGTTTACCTTGGATTCCATATCTCAAAATATGGTCAAGCTTCTTCCTTGTCAAACATGCGGTGGAAATCGTAACATATTTAATAAAATGTTCCCCCAATTTACATGCACCAACACCATTTAATGAACATGCCTGTACTCCCAAAACCAAACACAAGTAAAATTTATAACTGTATTAGTGGATTTTATGCTCTTGTATAACTAAAATAAGCATATGTATATAGTTATAACCTGTTTAGTTTCTAAAAATACATATGATTAGGCATGATTTTATATCAAATGTTACCTATGAAATGCAACATCTGCTTTGAACTACATTTGAATGAAGTTGCATTTACTTTCTAGCTTGTTTCTTAATATTATATTATGTATAATCATAATCTTTGAAAGCACAAAGTAGCTAATTTTTGTTTGAAGGAGCATGATAAATACGAGGTCTTGTAATGGGATGTTTTAATGAATTAATTACTAAACTTTAAATGTTTTACTTATTTTCTTAATAACATGTTCTTTCCAAGTAATTTAACTGTATTAATGTTTCTGAGTACTACAAATCTTGGTTGTTGTATTACTGGATGCATTAAAAACAAAATGTTTCTTATATATATGTATGTATGTATGTATGTATGTATGTATTTATGGAAAAACCATATTTTAAAATTATTGTAAGAGTGAACAAAACTATAAATAGTAACTTAAAAAAGGCTTTTAAATCTTACTTTTTATGACTTCATTCAAAATTGCAAAGAATTTTCAAAAACAAACTCAATAGGTTTACATGGTACCCAAAAGATATTGACATATAACTTATAAATATATGAATTGTATTGATATTAAAATATTGAATGCAATTTATATATTTACATTCTAAAAATGTAAAACTTATTGTGTGCCTATATGTGGAGGATTTTTAACTTTAAATAAAAATAAATAAACAAACAAATAAATAAATAAAGAATGGAAAATAACTAACTGCTAATTTGTAGCCTTTCTGAATTAAGAATCGTTAGCAGTACATCCTCCATGAAAGGAATCTGTTTCGATGGGATTACGTTTAAATTGAGCAAGTCATTGTAGTTATCTGAAATAGAATATTCTCATTATTCTAAATTGGCTCTTGGTTACAATAATATATTACACACATGCTTTATTACAGGCACGTGAGCTTACATTGAAGCCACTAACCAACACCATCCGGAAAGAGCATTCATTCCATGCAAACCCTAACAATGCAAATCTATACATCCCATCAACATTTTGCCATCCTCCGAAACCATATAATATAATAGACAGACACAGGAAGGACGAACACATCTAACAACACTCTCACTCTCACACATTTAGACCGAAAAAGCAAAAGTGTGCAGAGGAAGGGGGGGACGAGCGGACAGGAGAGGTGTGTGGATGAGGATGAATGTACTCACGACGGAACCCGACACCGTCGAGGATTCAACAGAGCGAGTATCATCCATTCATCGAAAGCGCGGGAGGGGAGGGGGAGGGGGGGGGGGAGCAGTAGCAGCGGCGTTGTCCAGACTGACGACGCAGAAGAAGAAGAAGCAGAAAGGGGGGCAAAGTCTAGATTGGTGAGCAAACTAAATGCCACCCAAAGCAAAGCAAAGGAAGCATGGGGGACGACGGGGAGGGGAGGGGAGTGGAGTGGAAGAAGTTGAAGAAGAAGAAGAAGCAGAAGAAGCGGGAGCACGCGTGGCGATGATGCAGCCTGGCCCAGATCTGACGCACACTCACTGCACTGCACCCTTCACAGTGCAGTGTAGTGCAGTGATGTGAAGTGAGAGTCTGGGCGCAGCCAGAGAGAGATGGCAGGAGAAGGGCAGAAGGCAATGCAGTGAGTCTCGGGGACTTCACGACGACAGGGGGGGGGGGACTGGCAGAGCAGAGCAGAGCAGAGCAGAGAGAGAGGTACAGGCAGAGAGCAACACCAGCAGAGTAGTAGTAGTAGTAAGTCGTAGTAGAGCAGCAGCAGTAGAGTAAGTTAGTGGGGGGAATACAACAACAGACAACACCACCCCATCAGGCTTGGAGGAAGCGTGCGAAAGAGGAGGTGTCTGGAGAAGGAAGGAAAGGAGGAGGGAGAAGCAGAAGCAGAAGCAGGAGGGAGCACAGCCAGCTAACCTGCTGCTGGTGGTGCCTGTATTTGTCATATGTGGGACTTGTCCCCCCCCCACCCCACCTTCATTCATTCATTCATCTGTGGAGCAAGTACGTTGATGAGCCCCCCTTCTGCCCCCCCTCCGGATGCTTTTTGCTGGTGGGTGCCTGGCTTTTTGTTTGTTTCTAGCCTCCCTTTGCGCGCCTGCATTCAATGCGCCACACCCCCTCTCTCCACTCCTTCACCGTGTCTCCTCACCTCCCTCCCTCCCCCCTCGGGTTGGTTACCATAGATAGCACTGGTGGTGCTCGCTTCACAAAGTTACGCGAAGTTAGGAGTGTCGGTCTACCTTGTCGCTGCGTTGGTGTGGTGTTGGGCTTGGTGTCCAGCGTCACTGTGCAGATATTCAGGCGTCGACTCACTTGTCGGTCTTGAGCCGGGCAACTGTATAGCTGCTCGTCTCGCAGCATTGCATTGTCGACCGTCGTCTGAGTAGCTGCAACGGCTGTTGCTGAGGTTGTGGTGTCTTCCGTCCAGCTCGTTAGCTCCGACAGTTCTTGAAGTCGATACGTCCCCCCCCCCCCTTTCTTCTTCCAGTCCTACCGTGTGCTCTCTTATTATAAAGGTTGCGTGAGTCGACCTGGCAGGTGCTTTGGTTCACATTAACTTGGGGGCCTGAAGGGGTGGAAGTGCGTTCGTGAATTTTCTTCTGGTCTACGAGATTGCACGGGTTGGAACTTCTTCTTCTTCACTTGACTGTTGGAGTGATGCAGTACTGCGTGCGCGCGTCGTTGTCTGCACTGATTGGGTGCTGTAGCAGGCCGGTGCGTTAGAATCAGTGAGCGAGCCCCCTCGAGTGACGCGGGCTGTGTGGAGTGGTGTGCGCACAGCCTAGTTCTCGACGATCGGTGCGGTGCATGTGTGAGGGTTGAGCTTGGTCAGCGAATTCGAGTCATCGAGGTGGCGAAGTAGGTTTAGTTCTGTCGAGAGGGAGAGAACGAGAGAGAGAGGAGATTCAGCACGAGGCTGCTGCTTCTCTCTCCCTCCTTTTCTTCGGATAGCGCGAGAGAGGGCGGGAGGCAGAGCTCCACAGTGACATTGCTTCGTCACTTGACATTGCCTCCCCCTTCTCTCAGGTCCCTTGCTCTCGTTTGTTCCTCGCTCCCTTCCCGTCTCTACTGTGCACGTGTAACCACCTCATCTCTCTTGACATACGTGCACACACACACACTCATCTATACTTATTCCTTCTTGACATGCAGCTTATCCCCATCACGGTGGGGTTGTTTTGTTTTCTAAATTGAATTGTTCATTGATTAGGATAATCGCGTCATACATTGCTTTCGACAGTGTACTTAGTATGTGCTCAGGGAACGATTTGCCTCGAGGTTCCACGCCTCTCGCACTGGTTGTCATTCAAGCCCGTCTCTATCCGTTTTGAAGTAGTCGGATAGTTTCCGACTCTCCTCAGAAGCTCAAGGTTCGGGGACAGACGGAGCTGACTGAGTTGCGGCTAGGGAGCTTCAAAGTCACTCCAAGCAATCTCAAATACTGTGGTGGAGACCCGGAGCTGGGTGTCGAGGTGCCTAACCAGCTATCAAATCGGCCTCAGGATCAATCAGAGAGCTACGTGAGGGCCAGGCAGCGCCTTAAATCAGGCATTGAAGCAGTATCAAAGATGGTGGCTGGGTAGGGATGTAGAGGGAGACAGGAAGGCTGGAGGGGCAAGAGAGGTGGTTGGGCGAAAGCCGGATGAGGTTAGGCGGCGTCACCGTGCAAGTAACTCCGAACGGCAATCTGGGTGGGCGGTGCTTTGGGGAGTTGGGTGGCATGGCGCCCCCGCGCCCCATTCCCCCTCTGATGTCACGCCCTCCCCCCAAGCTCTACACTTCGCCGGCACTGTCCCTTGCGCCTCCCACAGGTGTCGATCGGCAGCGAGAAGCCAGCCAGACTGCGGAAAGCGAGCAGCAGCAGAAGAACAAGGAAGAGGAGTACGGGTCGCGATCTGGAAGCGACAACATGGAGGGAGGTTCAGACGATGATCAGGATCCCGACCGCCCGCCGCGCAAGAAGAGGTATCATCGGCACACACCGCGGCAAATTCAGGAGATGGAGATGTTGTTCAAGGAGTGCCCTCATCCGGATGACAAGCAGCGGCAGCAACTGAGTAAGGACTTGGGGCTGGAGCCTCGGCAGGTCAAGTTCTGGTTTCAGAACCGGCGCACTCATATGAAGGCGCAGACGGAGCGTGCCGAGAATTCGATGCTACGGGCGGAGAACGAGAAGCTTCGGTCGGAGAACGTGATCATGCGGGAGGCGCTCAAAAATCCCCAGTGTCCACATTGCGGTGGGCCAGCCACGGTGGGGGAAATGTCGTTCGACGAGCAGCAGCTCAGGCTGGAGAACGTACGGCTGAAGGAGGAGCTGGATCGAGTGTCGGCACTCGCTGCGAAGTATCTCGGGCGGCCGATTCCGCCCATGGCTCCTCTCGCCCTACCCAGCTCGAGCTTAGATCTTCAGGTAGGAGCTGGCGGGAGCAGCTTCGGTGGCCTGCACCCGGCACAAGCTGGTAATTTGAGCATGGTGCAAGGTCCGAGCGTGGCGGATGTTGCCACTAGACCAGGGGGGTTGACAGAGGCTGAGAAGCCGATGGTGGTGGAGCTGGCGATGATGGCGATGGAGGAGCTGGTCCGTATGGCGCAGTCCGAGGAGCCTCTGTGGGTGCGTACACCTGAATCCGGGAGGGAGCAGCTGAACTACGATGAGTATCTGCGGCAGTCTCCTCGTGGCATTGGGATGAAGCCGCCGGGCCTGAAGACGGAGGTTACCCGCGAAACGGCAATGGTAATGATGAACGGCGTGAATTTGGTGGAGACGCTGATGGACGCGACGCAGTGGATTGACATGTACCCTTGCATGGTGTCTCGGGCACTCACTGTGGATGTGCTGTCGACGGGCGTGGCTGGCAATCGCAATGGCGCATTGCAACTCATGTACGCGGAGCTGCAGGTGCTGTCCCCACTCGTGCCGACCCGCGAGATATACTTCCTGCGGTATTGCAAGCAGCATGCGGAGGGCGTGTGGGCGGTAGTGGATGTGTCGGTGGAATCTCTTAGAGACAATCCACCCCCTTCACTGATGAGATGTCGACGTCGTCCTTCTGGAATTTTAATCCAAGATACTCCCAATGGATATGCGAAGGTGACGTGCGTGGAGCACATGGAGTACGACGACCGTGCTGTGCACAGGATGTACCGAGAGCTGGTGAATTCTGGGATGGCATTCGGAGCCCAGCGGTGGATGGCGACTCTGCAGAGGCAATGCGAGAGGCTGGCGAGCCTGCTGGCGAGCAACATTGCGTCTCGCGACCTGGGTGGAGTTCCAAGCGCTAACGGGCGGCGGAGCATGCTGAAACTGGCTCAAAGAATGACGAATAATTTCTGCGCGGGAGTCAGCGCGTCGACAGTGCACACATGGACGACGCTCTCCGGCAGCGGGGACGACGACGTGCGAGTGATGACCCGCAAGAGCGTGGACAATCCTGGAGAGCCGCATGGCATCGTGCTGAGCGCTGCGACGTCGATGTGGCTACCTGTGTCACCGGCACGAGTGTTCCAGTTCCTTCGCGACGAGCGACTGCGGAGCGAGTGGGACATATTATCCAACGGCGGAATGGTGACGGAAATGGCTCACATCGCCAAGGGTCAGGATCCAGGAAACAGCGTTTCCCTGTTGAAGGTTAACGCGATGAATACGAACAACAGCAACATGCTGATTCTGCAAGAGAGCTGCACGGATGTGTCGGGATCGTTGGTGATTTACGCTCCCGTGGACATCCCAGCGATGAACCTGGTGCTGCAAGGGGGTGATCCGGCGTATGTGGCCCTTCTGCCCTCTGGATTCGCAATCCTTCCCGACGGTCCCGGAGGTGGTGACAGAGTCTATATGGGAGAGCAGCCGGGGCAGCTGACGGAGAGCGGGCGCGGCAGTGGGTCACTTCTGACGGTAGCCTTCCAGATTCTTGTGAGCAGTGTCCCTTCCGCGCGGCTGTCTCTGGAGTCTGTGGCTACGGTGAACAACCTGATTTCTTGCACAGTGCAGCGCATCAAGGCGGCGTTACTTGTGGACGACGCCTAAGATCGGTCGGTATCCATAAGAACAGCGGCTCTCGGAATAAAATTGGCAGCACGTTCTGTTCTCTTTGGGGAAGAACCTCTGCCGGTCCACCACATGTGGTGACATCTGGACGTCACGGTCTCACTTCCGGTGGTGGGCGCAGCAGGGAATAGTAGTACAAATGGTCAGCGGGTGGGCATTGAGGAGCCTTCAAGACTGTGTGTTATCTCACATTGAGCGTGGTCTTGAGCGTTCCTCAGGAGGGGGAAAAAAGGGGGAAAAAAAAAAGAAAAAAAGAAGAAGAAGAAAACTAACAGGTGGTGAGCAGCAGGATTGCATGAAAGTGATCGAAGAAATACCAAGATGGTGACGAGACAAGACAAGATCAGACAAGACAAACTACGCCATTAAATTACATTAGTGTTGGCAATTTACGGATTATACAGACACGACGTTTAAGTTGCTAGGGGTAGGAAATGAGTCAAGAGCGAACCACCACTGATGGCCCTCACTGCGTGGTTTAGTGGGATCAGTGCACTCACTCGTGTGCAAGATCGATGCCGGTGCCCCAGCCCGACCTTCTTCTTGCCCACTTGCCCTAATTATATTGGTGCATGTGCTTCACCACGCAGCCAGGGTAGTGGTTCGGGTATTGACTTACTTTCAACCATCCCTCTTTCATTTCTCACGGCATTTGAACATTGCTCAGCCAATCCTGTCTTTGACAGCTTTGTGGATTTTGGTCCCCTGTAATCAGTACATGGCTCGGCGTTGCTCACCTTGTATACCTCCCCTTGTAATTCGCCCTCGTCCGTTGTGCATGCTATGTGGATCTTTCTTCTTTATCTGCTTTGCTGTATGTTGTGCTCGTCTGGGCAGGCATGCTGCTTTCACAACTTCCGTCGCTTGCTTGATCATTGGTTTGCAAAGCAAACACCGTTCTTTTCTAAAGCAATTGCTACAGCTCTTAGCAACTTACATTCTGTTTCATACCTTCAATACCTCGTGAACAGTTTACCAGACACGAACATTTATATCCATGAATGAAATACAAAAGTGCAGTCCAAAATCTTTGTTCTACTCCAAACTGTTCTAATGTCTGAACTTGCAAAACAGGACTTGAGAAAATGCGATACAACTCAGCTGTATTAACACACTGATATTAACCTGCATAAAGTTTTGGTAGTCCACAGTGATGGTTATGTCTACTACTGAGGACTCTACGCGTGTTTGAACCGAAACAATTGCAATTTTTGCCATTGATTGTGATATATTAGCATCCAAGTATCGAAATAAACATAAAGAACAACTCACGTTTAGAGAATATTGCTCCCACTTAATTCAGCAGTCGATTTACTCAAATCCGAAAAGAGAGTAAGGCATGAGATTTTATCGTCTGTGTCCGCACCGGCGACCATGGTTGCGGTCACTCACAGGATGCGAAGGAGTAAAGCTTCGGTTCACTCGCCATGGGGTTCCCCACACTCGTGTGGGTGTGGATGTGTGTGTGTGTGCGCGTTGCGACGCAGCAGTCTGGAATGGAGGTTTTCATCGATCATGTCAGTGGGGAATCCAATGCGGCCTACCTCGGGAAGCGACGTGCCTGCCATCATGGGCACTATCGCTGCCAGTCTGGGGCAGCCAAGTGTGGGCACTGCCATGGCCTCTTTCGCCACTGCTGCGAACTGCCTGCCACTTCTGCCACAAAAAGGATACACTTATTATTATTACGAATTTATATAATGGCCACAGTGCCAGGGCATGAAGAGCATCCTATGTCTGACACACACCCTGTAAATCTCTCTCTCTCTCTCGCTTCTTCTTCTGTAATTTCTTCACTCTCCTTTCTTTCTCACACGATTCTACCATCTCGCATTTATCGATCCAGATCTCCAGGATGATGACTCGTCCGTCGTAGCTGAGGTGAAAAAAACACCCACACTCTCGCGCTACCAACAACGCCGTAGATTTGCAATTCGAGGGTGAAAAACCAGTTGTGGGGATTTCGTGCACAGGAGCGAGTGTGTGTGTGTAGCCTCTTTTTTTTTTTTTTTTTTTTTTTTTTTTTTTCCTACACTTGTACCAGACTGATTCCAGGTTCTATCTTATCTATTGGATTCCCCTTTCTTGGTTACCAATGCTTTGCTCCATCCTGTGAAGATCAACCTCTTGCTCAATAGCCCTTTGTTCTCTAACACTATCGCATCTATTATAAAAGAGAGAAAGAAAAAAACCCATTTTGTGCATTTTTACTTCTCCTTTTTCCTTCCATGCGTGAAATTCAAATTGCTCACTCTTTCACTCACTCAGTGCTGCTTTTAAAGGGGGACTGAGGGAGGGAGGGAGGGCATGTAGAGATAAGAACCTGGCTACGCACAAATCCTGTGCTAACCAATGGTAATGCGAAGCAACCGCACTTGTAGGCTCAAACAAACATGTTGCCCTCACATATTCTAATATAAAAGGTTGCTCATACTCACTCCCACTACAGACATTGAGGTGTGCATTGTTGACATTTGGCTACGTATTTGTCCTTTGTAGGGCAATTTTCATCCAGGGTATCAGTTCCATCTTCATTAGAGTGTCATTATAGATTCTCGTCCATGACCACCTCAGGTGGGGACCTATTGAGCACTTACAAGACGGGCCCACGAGGCCACTGCTCATTGGTGAGGACAACTATCGTGACCAGCCAAGCTTTTGGTGGAGACGCCGGGTATCGCATGGGGATAGATGCACAGGAACTCAGGCAGACTGATGAAATGCGGAAATCCTGTTGTCATTAGCCTCTCCAATGGCTGCTAGGAAAACCCTAAGCCAACACGTTTGGGAATCGCTTGGGAGGTCTCAAGGATCCGAAGAACGACTAGCGTACAAAAATTAAGCAGGTCAGAACTGGAGTAGCTGATCAAGGAAATTGCTCCGCTCTGCCTAACGCCTCAATGACACAATCTAGTGACCAGCGAACGGTGAGAATAAGTGAAGCGAGTGACTCTTCATCTGCCGTTCTACTCCGATACGACGCCATCAAACATCTGAGCTCTACGCTCCCATTGAACCAGAAAGGAGCGGGCCGAGCATCTTCACCAGAACGCCACCCCAGTGACGTTGACGCGCGACTACTTGTCTCTCACATTGGAGAAGTCTCGCGAACCACCCCACGGATCGCACGACCGACCGACGTTTACACATTCATTGAGTCTCCGATATTCCACCAAATTGGCAGCAGGAATCAACCATTTGAGCGAAGCACAACCATCCATTTACTCAGCACCACACTGTGTTACCACCTGCATCGAATCCACAGAACTCTTCCCTCGCACGGAAGGCGTCCAGCAACGAATCCTCAACCAAGGAAGTGGATTCCCTTGAGCAGCTTTCGTGTATGGCACAGTGACCTCCGAATCATACCAGGTACCAATGATCCATTATTATCTTGTAACTGGGACATAGGACACCAATATTGCAGCGACTTTGGATTATACAATGTATTACTAGCACTAAGGGAAGAGTCAGTACACCTCTGTGTAACCGCCTGGCAACGTACCAAGGAAGGGTTCTCAGAACGAGGCTCGGCATTGTTCACCAAGTCATATCAGCTTGCGGGCATCGACCTCCCTCGAAATTACTGGAATGCGTACCCCATTGAGCCAGCTCTGAAGATTCTCTAGTAAACAGCTCATCACCCGCCATGTCGTTAATTCCTAAACCTGAGAAACTCCCGGTGTCAAAAGCTTTCACAAGCACCTCAACCCCAGCCTATTCCACCACTGAAGGATTTGCTGCAGCCACCTTGACACCCGAACCAACACCAATGATATCTGAGTCGGAAGCTCAAACCCGTAACTCCATTTCTGATCTCCGAAGATAGATAGTCTCCATGAATCCACAGCAGTTGACAGAGCTCTTACTTAAAGATCAAATCCTACATATCGTTCGATCGATCTTCATGGCAGTGGATGGACTACTGCCTCCTCGGACTCCCACAGTAACCCCACCATGGACCACCACCTCAACCATGACGCATCCTCGTCAAATTCCTGAAGTTCGGGCTGACCTTAGTAAACTGCCTGCCCTCTCATTCAACAAGTTTTCTCTCGGCGACGACCACCTTTCCTTCATCCGAGACTTTGTCACTGTCACGGATGCATATCAGGCTCCCGAATCTTGTCGAGTTTCTCAATACTGCACGTTGCTAATCGGTGATGCGCGTGACTTATTCGAGTCCCGCCTCGATCAAACAACACCACCGACTTGGGATCAGGTTCAGCAATTAGGCAAGACCCCATTCATCCCCGCGGATCAACGAAATCTTGCCTGGGATTATCTCAACAACTCTAAGTACTATCACGGAGTAAAACCTAGATCTACATTTCTCTCGATTTACTCGACACGTCAAGCTAGCTACTGGTGACAAGAGAGAATTCATGCAGAGAGTGGTCTCCCAACACTTCATTTGATCTCTACCCCCGAACTCAATGTGAGAAGCGGGTATCAATGTGTTCTCATCCAATGAAGCCATGCTATGGCACCTCAACGTGTGTCTCCAATACTCAAGCGCTGCTCACTTGCGGCAACCAAAAGCCAAGCATGCCGTGATATCCCTGGTCGCCACAACAGGTACCAACGACACCGCTTGCTCTGACAACCAGCACACACATGACTATCAAGATGAAGAACACACAACCACCATAGAAAGTCTCTCCGAGCAACTAGTATTGCTCCGCAATGACACCCGCTACAAACCTGATTCTTCCAAGGACGCTCCAGCTATAGGATTCAAATGAATAATCTTCTCATGCAGCATCTGTGACACATTAGGCCAAAATGTGATGTCATGTCCGCTCCGACCCTTCATGCTTAAGCAGTTAGCGAACATGAGGAAAGAACTTGAAGCACAAACAAACACAACAATCCATTTAAACGAGGTAGGCCATCCCCGAGTGGCAGGGATGTGAAGACCTCCGTAAGCCCACCGATCTTCATGTCAATCGACTTTTTTCAGCTCAACTGTGCCTCCCCCTCCAAGATCCATGCTCCGATACAACCCTGGATTGTCTCCAGAATGATCCAAGGCATCAATCGACCTCTCATCATCGACACAGGATGTAACGTGACTGCAGTCCCACTCACAATTACAAAACTCCTCAATTTTTGGGTCCAACCGACAGACATTCAGGTGACAATTGTGGATGGCAGCACCTATCGCCTTCTAGGCAGCGTTGCTGTCACCATACATATCTCGGGGACAAGCGCAACTGTCAACGCTATCGTCAGCTCGGGGTACAAGGTCCCCTCTCCCTTGACTGGATGGCGCAAACTTCAAGCTTATTGGACGTGGCACATCGCCGCATGACACTCAACCCGCCCAATGCTGCCCCTCAAGTAGTGACACTATCATCGGTCACCATGACACTAAAGGCAGCAGAACCAATCGCTCATCTCCCATCCTTGCAATCGATCCCAACCACTTCAACTGGTCGGCTTTTCATAACTTTTGGCCTCCCGACAAGCGCCTCTATTTCTAAATGCTCCCTATTCAAGGCCTCAACTCGCAATTACCAACACCAATGTCAACATTGTCAGTTCTGATTTGTGTTACGCGAGCCATCACAATCCCTCCCTTCTCTCAACGGGTTCATCGCACTAATATGGCTCTTGCTTGCCCAAACAAACACTATATGGAGGTTCAGCCTTGGCGGCGCCCTAAGGAGCACTGCCATGCACTCGTTGTGGATGGAATCTATGACCGCCGTTATCGAGGGGAGATCACCACGTTGATCGCTA